ATTTTTAACAAATGCATTTTTAGATTACTGAAAAATATACGACTATGCAAATGCTTTCTCACCAAACCAAACGTTTTCACCATCTATCGATCAACATTATATCAATCACATTTAAACACCAAAATAGATAAAACAAACGCATCAGTCGCTTTCATTATTAGTATTTTCTCTTGGGGTGTTTTTGTTCCCGATAGATTTTTTATCAACTAAACAGGGTATGTACCTGTTACAGAGTCAAAGCTTATAAATGTTAGTCAGTGTATAAATGTTACCTAGACCTTTGAATCAGAAGATTAAGGAAGTAACTTATCAAAAATCTTAGATTGACCGAGACGGGGCTCTAAAATGGTCGACTTTACTTTCGTTTGACGAGTGCCGCTCTAATTTTATTCAAAACGCGAAAAAATATGATATAGGGTAGACATGGGGTAGACTCAATAATTTGTTGTCTTCTTTTACGTTGTCAATAAATGTTGGTAGTTATTAAAATTGTTATATAAATATACATTTCTAATAACAATAGCTATAAAAGTTATAATAATTATTTTTACGCCTAGACATAAAAGTACAATAATATTTGATTAAACTGATATAAAGTGTAAAATTCAACGAACGCCAACCATAGTTTCTCGATATATAATTACATACAAGGTATAACTTTTAAATCTTTTTATATTATTTGGAACGTTTGAAATTGTTTAAAAACTTATTTGTGACGTTTGAAAAAAAAATAGCATGTTCGATTCAAAGTAAAAATTATTTTTTGTGCCTCGCCTGTATGTCGTTATTACCTAACCAAAATGTCTCGACTGTATGTTGGTTATTACCTAACCAAACCAAACCAGACCAAACCTAACCTAATCAAACATACAGCCTCGCCACAAAAGATGTCATATTTTACCTCTAATAAAACAATATACTACTTTGCTAAAATTTTGAGAACCACTGGATCTTTCTGGGTTTTCTTCCTTGTAAATTTAATGTACTACTTAAGTTGTCATATTATCAAGAAATTATGTTTTTTAACTAAAAAAAATTCAATTTTTTTCCAAAAATTACGATTTTTTTTCACGAAAAAAACCTAATTATGTTTAGGGTCTAAATATACTACCCCGGAAAATATTTGCACTTATTTATAACTCACCCTGTATAAAACGACTGATATGTTCCTTTTATTTATTTTAATGTGTAATAAACACAAGATCGTTTTGACTATATACAGGGTGTCCCAATATTCCGTGGCCATTGAACTACTACGTATTTTTGGAATCAAAATAAGTTTATTGGACTCATTTTAACTCTATACAAAAGTGCTTCGTTTGTCCGCTAGAGGGTATTAAACTTTAAAAACATAAGCATATTTTTTCAGATATTGGGACACCCTGTATAATTAATGTAATCTTTTTTATATTTGTCAACTTATTTTGAAATACATTTGCACAGCCAAAAAAATCGATATAACGATTTAATATTATTTTCGCTTTACCACCATCAAACCAAGGAAATCTTTGTATCTTCTTCTTTCACACTTCTTGGTCTCCGTGTCCACTAAAGCAAGCAAGACTTCATAGACAGCGTCACGTCCTTTAAGTTTTTGCTCCAGAACTTTATTTTCTAAAAGATTCTTTTACTTCACCACACTTCGACTCGTTATAGAAATTACTACCATTGCGCTGAGAAATAGAAAAGAAATGTATCAAGCACGAACACTTCTTAAGGGGAAAATACCGCGATAGATAGCGACCGATATGTCGATTTTATTTATTTTAATGTTTAATAGACACGAGATCGATAAACATGCGCTTTGGAATGTTAAAAATCTTCGATGAGACCACGTTAAGAGTTTTCTCTAAGAATTCATAGGCGCACAGAAGAAATAAATAAGCAAAATAAACACTTTACAATATTATTTTTTATACTCTAGATAAAGTTAGTGGTAAGTTTAGTAACAAGTTTATCGCATTTTCAGTTGATATACCGTGTGGTGCATCGTAACACGGGACATAGGAAATCCCATATAAATTTTGAAAATGTCAAAAATCTCCCCAGATAATTTTATGCAAAAGGTGAATTACACTTTTTTGAAAAGGCGTTAAAGTTATTCTTTTGTCCAGAATTTTGCTTCATTTGAATTGACATTTAAATATTATTTGCTAAAATCTACCTTTAAATTACTAAAATTTTATACTAGGGCCCAGAAAAAGCTACGATTAAAATACCCGCAAAAATGTAATTTTGTCATTGTCAAATTCAAAGTCACATTTTGTTTACAAAAATTTGAAGGTAACACATACATAGAGTAATTTTGTATAAAATATAATTTTCTCAATTTTCGTTGGTTAAATGACATTTTGCTGGAAATATCCCTTTGCTGGAAATAAATCCCTACTGTGTTATATATGTTCGCAGTTCAGTCTCTAGTCCCTAGTTCGCAGTTCAGTCGCTAGTTCAGTCTCTACATTAACGAATAATCAACAGTTCAAAGAATAATCTAGTGATTTGAAATAAAGGCACGACCTTAAGAAATTGTAAGTGTGAATATAAAAATATAGAATAGATAGATACGGTAATCGCAAAGCATTTTCCGATGCACGTCATCATTCATATAGAAATTGACAAATTTGTTGTATAATTTAAAATACGGAGCTGCTCTTCAATTTACTTTATAGAGATAATAAGATAAAAACATATTTTATTTAGATTAAAGCTGCAAAAATCAGATTAAACCAAATTTTATTATCGCTATATTGGTCACATTGCGCCGCGCGCCGTGTTCAGCAACGTTGTCGTTTATTATTTGACAATTATCCCAATGTTAGTCATTATTTTGTATAATATAGTGTTGTTGTTGAATCTTTCTGAGTAATTCTCGTTTTTTGCCTATTTATCTACATAGTCTTTTTTTTTAATTGTACTTTTACGCACAGACAGTTTTTTAAGAACTAAATTTCCTAGTTTTTGCATTGCATTTCTTGAAATTGTGTCTTGAAAATACTCCGAATCATTTAAACATTTGAAGTAAAGAGCATGTAGCTTCCCTGATATATTATTTTCACAGAAAACGTGACAATAAAGGTCCTTTATTTCCCTTGACTGCAGTTCGACAAGTAAGTTTGGTTAAAGACAAAAACAATGATGTTAATAACAAAAATAAACAAGAGGATTAACAATAATAATTGAAGATTTTAATACATTTATTTGTTGAAGGTAATAATGCTAGACTTCTTTAGTTTAAAACCTACATTCTGGCGATATTCTGATATGTCAGTCTTTTCCCTTAATACTAGCATTGTCCGTATCATGCTGTACGTAGCCCAAAGAGTAGATGGCTTTTTCTGCCTTATAATGTCGCTAAAATATGCCATCAAGACTGTCTCCGAAGCAATATTCTTAGCATAGTATACTTTCAATGCTATGTCATATCGCTCCCTACTTTTCTCTGGAAGTAAACTAGCTTCTGCTCTTTTTACAGCTTCTGTAAGTTCTGGTGGAGTACCAATATTAAAGTAGTCTTCATTATCAGAACTTTCCGATAACATTCTGGCTTTTTATGTTATATAAATTCGAAAAAACGAACACAAAACATCCCTCTTTAGAACTTCGTCTGTCATGTTAAGAAATAAAAGTAGATAATAAAGTAAATATTTTTTAAATTTACATTTTTTTAATTGTAAAGTAATATATTACATTTAAATGGAATATGTTACATAACAATTATGTCAATTACAGGATTACAAGCTTGTTTTCTAACATTTTTTTAATAAAACGAATTATAAAATTTCAATATATGTATATTTGTCGTAGGTATGAAAAAAGTAAAATATAAAATGGACAAACGCTTACTTACATTGCAATAAAACTTCCACTTTTAGTTTTGCAATCCAAACGCAATATTTCTATTTCACAAATAAAAATATCCGACAACACTAAAATCACTGAAACTTCCGCGGCTGTCAACAAAAACTGAAAAATATAACGGCACTTTTTGTTTTGGACTTGCATATATGAACATTACGCTGTACTATTATGTGTTTGTTGTTGAAATAATGTAAAATATCTAATTATAACTTGTAAATTTTAATATTTTAACATGATCTTAACTACTTTTGACAGAAACTAACTTTTTGTTATCAAGATGACATTTTAGACGGCAACTGACATATATGTCATAATATTTGAATCTTAAATATGTATGTAATATAATTTAAATTACGATAATGCAATTTTATAATAAGAAAACATTTATACATTCACAAAATACAACAAAGTCTAATAATATAATTTGAAAACAATGCATATTGAATTAAAATTGAAAAAGTTAAGCGCGACCTCTTGTGTCAAAATTAGATGATTAAATTTTCGCAATTTTTACACCATTTGATGACCGGTGGCGCCTCTAGTGTTTGTTCGAGCGGTTGGTCTTTTACTCCCGCTTATGGCCATTAAAGAAAAAGTTCTCAAGGGGGATGTTTTGTGAAAATGAACGAGAAATTCGAAACTGTCACTTAGTTGTTTGTTTTGCTGTTGAAGGTTTGCGCCATAACAACCACTGGTAACTATAGATATAGAAATGCCAAAACAGAAAACGACAAGTTTTAACATATTTATTTTTATTCAAAATAAAATACTGTTCCTATTTTTTAATTAATGATGTGGTCGTAAATAAAATAGTATACAAACCTCGGAGGAAAGTTTTCATTATGGTCTCGAGATTTAGTTAATCTCTCGACAGAAGAAATAATAAAACACTTCCTTCCTCGGTATGTAATATACTATTGCGATTACTGTAGATAAACTTTTTTTATTTCAAAATTACATTTTACCTGAATATATAATACGCCTATTCTAGAAGTAATGGCTGAATTTGGTAAGTTAAAAACCTTTTAGAAGAAGAACGCCTATGGTTTATATCCCACCAGCTACCTACCCCCTCCCCGACAAAACCCTCTTCCATCTATCGGCACTTGTTCGCCATAAAAAATACACTTTACTACTTGCAGGTGCGGCTCACGATAAAACCGTGGACCTGACTTACGACGCAGAGATGGGCAGCACTAACGGAGCAGGTCAGAAAGGTATGAGGAATTTTTTAAAAATTTAATAACGGGAATTTTCCAGGAAAGTTTCGCTTAAGGCAGTCGCACACTCTCTAAAATAGTAGGGTTTTGCACGAAGGGTCACTAGAAAATTTAAACGGTAGTTTTATGGGCTCAAAAATGTTGTACATGGTGAGTCAACGATAGAATAAAGTCAATTATATCATGGGTTTAAAGGTTTGCAAAAAATGTTAAATAT